TTTTGTTTAATGTTGTAAATGTCATGCAATTCAGTTTCTAACTGCTAAATGTCATGTTTTTTAATAAACCATAAACCATATTACATCCTCCTTTAAGAAACGTGAAACATCTTCATCAAATCTGGGAACAGTCTTCTCCGAAACTGCCCTCTTTTACTGTTTAAAAAACGGCAAACCATTTGTTCCTTTTCTCCAGCCCTGCGCATACATACGTGAGGAATGTGAACGTTCAACCAATGAAACGTTAAAAGGCACCGGATTTCATGGGAGTCCAAATTTCATGTGACACTGGAAAAGTGTTTAAAGCCGGAGTCCATCATTTGCAGCTATCCAAAAACTAACTGACGTAATTATTGTTGAAAAACATTTTTGGTTGAAAAATAGTAATGGGACTAAACTCCCTGTGAAATTATTCTTTCTGGCAAGCTGTCATTTTGAAGAAATCAACGATAGAAGGCCTTTCCAATGGTGCGTCTTAAAGCTATGGTCCATATTTTGCAGTCATCCGAAAAAGTAACTGGCGTATTATTTTTGGAAAACATACTTGGTTGAAAGATAGTAAGAGCACTAAACTCCCTGTGAAATTAATCTTTCTGGCAAGCTATCATTTTGAAGTAATCAACGAAAGAAGGCCTTTCCAACGGTGCGTCTTAAGACGCACCGTAGGAAAATTTAAATAAGTAGTTCGATTTGATATTCCGCGCAGCGCGCGCAAGCATTGGCACGACGCACAGGCACGCGCGGTTGCTATAATTCGTCGGATCAGTGCGCGACATCGAGTATAGCTGCAATTCAAAACAATTCAAAACATGATTCAGCAGCTTTTGATTTGAAATTGAGATCATAGAATGCTGTTTTTCTCGGAATATACAGCTGATTAGCTGAGCTGAAACTTCATCAGGTTAGTTGTTGAGTACCCTTCATTAGATTGTGAACACTTTTGTTGCTTCAAACGAACAAAATGCACGAATTACAAATGATGGACTATATCTTTAAGAAGCACCGTTGGAAATTTCCGTTTGTAGTTCGTTTGTTCCATTCAGCGAAGCGCGCGCAAGCGTTGACACGACGCACACGGGCGTGTGGTTGCTATAATTCGCCGGATCGGTGCGCGACATCGCGTAGCTGCAATCGGCTCAGTGAGAACGTGTCTCGGACGCTGAATTCAGGCCCGATTCAAAACATGATTCAGCAACTTTTGATTTGAAATTGAGATCCTAGAATGTTGTTTTTCTCGAAATATACAGCTGAAGCTGAGCTGAAACTTCATCAGGTTAGTTGTTCAGCACCCTTGTTTACATTTGGAGCACTTTTGTTGCTTCAAACGAACAAAATGCACAAATTACAAATGATGGACTATACCTCTAAGACCAGCTAGGCATATCTTTATCATCCGTTTAAGACCGGCCACGTGACGGGCTCTCGACCAATAGGAATGCGTAAACTGTCTTTTAGGTATTTATGAATATGTATTAAGGGAGTTCTGGTGACTTTTCGAAAAAATATGTTGTCAACCGCGGCTTCAATTTTGCGCTTGCGGCAGCCCATATAAAATGGCACTAACGATGCACTAGATATACTAGCGCGTATCTGCATGATCTAAGATTCATCAGAAATAGTCAGAATCTTTTGGTCTGGGAACCAGACTAAAATAAACCATGACATATATATACGTTTATGAAGCATACTCCCATTGTGACTATGCATGACTACCAGTTACAGATACGTCAGGCTAGTGGCTAAAAGGGTTAGTATGATTGGTTACCATCCACTGTTTATGCGATTATTCATGTGAGTCTTCCCCTTCGTATAGCGTAACAAAAAAGTTAAACATTAAGTTCAACCCCTCACTGATTTTGTTTTTATACAAATATTATTTTTGATTACAAATTAATATCACACGGAATAAAAGTAGATACCGAAGCACAAAGCTGTTCTAAAACAATTGTTCGCAAGAGAACCAGCGAAACTTCACGGTACGAGTTGGACTGATCTATACACAAGGATTCAATTGAATCGGTAACTAATGAAATCATATGTAAAAGTTCACTGTCAGCTATTGCTAAATAATATTTTTAAAAAGCTGTGCGACAATTCCAGGTCTCGTCGGATAGCAACAGTTCAGTTTTTGGTATGTTTCTCCAGTCCTGTTGCACTTTCTATAAAACAAGTCTTCATGTGGGAAATACATGTGCCGAAAACTAGATTTGTTTCCCACTAGTGCACGCTAGATGAGGCACGGCCTCATCATCTGTCACAAGACTGCTTTCATTTTGAAAATGACAGATCCGTGGTCTGTGAAGGCTGCAACCAGTCATTGCCAAAAACCTAGTTACCGATGAAACACAAAAAAGCCATCTGTGGGCACAGTCCGAGAGGGGCAGACCCACGGATTCCACACACTGTCACTGAACTAGGCATACACGTGTTCAGATTGCATTAAATAGGCAAGTCAGTGTTTTAAGATAGGAACTTGATAATGTTTAATGGCCCCTAGAGTTGGCAGTCTGGAATCACTTCTCGCTTTAACGATCACAGATAAGTCGCTTCATCCTCTTTAAGTTACTCCTTGCTGCCTGTCGGTGCTCCGGGTGCGCATAGGCGAGGAACAAGGTGCCCCAGAAGGTGTCGAAAATAGCAAAAATGGAACCGACAGTCATGAGAGGGTCGAGAACGGCTGAAGTCAGGTCACTGAAAATTACCATGTTCATGGCTACACTAACTGGTAGCCAAGCCACCACAAATGCAGAGAAATGAACGATGAAGAACACGGTGGTTTTGTTGGCCGAGTGGTTCAGTCGAGGCTGCGGCGCGTTCTCGTCGTTGCCTTCCTGCTCCGTCCGCTGCACACGATCTTGAAGATGCTTTAGCATCAGCATTTCATCCCGTATCTTGCGCCGCTGTTGCCTAGCGATGCGAACGAGAGCTGCTATCAGAAAAGTTACCGCGATCATACTGGGGAAGATTGTCAGATCCGACATGACGATAATTGGGATTCGAAAACCTTCCCCCTGCAGGAAACTGCTGTAGAATTGTTGGCTATCGGTGTCCAAATTCAACATGGCGAAGAGGAACATGGCAAGTCCGAGGACCAGAGAAAGGCACCATAACGCACCGATCAGCACGGTGCAACGCGTGGGCGTCACTAGCCGGAGATACTGCAGGGGCCGGGAGATCTTCAGGTAGCGGTCAGCCGCTATGACCACCGAACTCAAGAAGTAGCCGAGAACACCAAAGTAGGTTGAACTTGTGACTACTGCGAGTTTGAGCGCGGAATGTGTCATGTTTGACATCAGGATCACAACCCACCATGAAATCAAAATTCCTATGACGATCAGGGACACACAAAGACTGGCCATGAAATAGTTGGACACACTATGGAGGGTGTGCTCCATGACAACTGTAGCTATCAACCATACGTAGACCAGACTTGTTGCTACTGCGATGAAAATCACGAAGATGTAGCCGGCCAACAAGGCCGGATGGACTGTGGGCTCATCATCGCTCACGGATGGTGCAGACACATTCACGATCACTTCATTCTCCATAATATGCGTTCCTATCAGAAGATTTCAGTCACCAAAAGAATCAAATGTTACAACAAAAAACTGTCACTGCGTTCAAGAAACCCCCGTTACTGTTGTCCATACCACTGTGAACCTTTTCATGACATGATGCAACGACTAAATTCGCACGTACCGGTACGTCATTATACGTTAACCGGTTGCATCTCTCAATATAAACTGTGGTAGGCTTACACGCATAGCACAAGGCGCTACCATGAATACATCATTTTAGATCTAAAAAGGCCTTATCAGGAATGACGGAGGCAAAATTGGAACTGACGCTTTGACGAGAGACACCGTTATTGGGTTGATTAATACGCCCCTTTCGTCGGTAATTAAGAAACCGCACATTAGTGTCAACATTGTCAAGCTTTTAGCTGGTGAAAATGACAGAATGATGGATATGGAGTCATTACCTCTGTGTGCATAATATGTAAGTTCACGGTACTGGGCTTCAACTAATGGTTCAGCCTGGAGTAGTAATTCTGATTTATTGGTGAAGATATTAAAGATGTTACGACCGGGCGTTTCACAGTGCAGTGCACCACCGAGAGTTTGCCCAGAACAGTTCATTTTTTTCTCAGTGTATTGTTGCAGATGGTCGACAATACTATTTTGCAGCACGGGACATTTTAAATTATTGGTTTTTCCAGGCACTAGTTTCGTACGCGTATGATTTGAGCATGATGGTTGCCCTTTTCTTCTTTCCTTTTTTTTCACTAACGTGTTTTTTTTGTTAGGCGGCAGAACGCTGTGCCAATTCAAATTCACAACGGATAGCTACAGTTCAGTTTTTTGTATGTTTCTGTCCTTAGTAAATATGGAACTTTCTATCAAACAAGTCCTCAGCTGTGAGAGATCGGTGTGCCCAAACTGGATTTTTTTGTGCCATAAGAGCACGCGAGAGGCACGGCCTCATCTGCCACAAGACAATCTTGTCGTAAAAAGACAGAACCAAAGATCTTATAGCAGCGAAGGCGCAAGATTGGGAACTCCATAGAAATTGCGAAATCGCCATGGACGCCATTCGAGCAAGCAAACCATTGTGCAAACCATTGTTTGCACAATGGTTTGCTTACTCGAAGCAAACCATTGTGCAAAAAAATAGTTTTCACAATGGTTTGCTTGCTCGAATGGCGTCCATGACGATTTCGCAATTTCTATGGAGTTCCCCATCTTGCGCCTTCGGCGCTATAAGATCTTCAGACAGAACCGTTGTCTGTGAAGGCAGCAACCAGTCAGTGCCAACAACCTAGCCACCGATGAAACACACAACAAGTAATCAGTGGGCACATTGTGCGAGAAGGGCCGACCCACGGCTTCAACACACTGTCACTGAATTAGACAAACATGTATTTGAATTAGGAAGTCAGCGTTTTAAGATGATAAGTTGATAATGTTGAATGGCCCCTAGAGTTGGAATCACTCCTCGCTTTAACGATCGCAGTTCAGTCGCTTCATCCTCTTTAAGTTACTCCTTGCTGCCTGTCTGTGCTCCGGCTGCGCATAGGCGAGGAACAAGGTGCCCCAGAAGGTGTCGAAAATGGCAATAATGGTCATGAGAGGGTTGAGGACGGCTGAAGTCAGGTCACTGGGAATTGCAATGTTCATGACTACACTAGCTGGTAACCAAGCCACTACAAATGCAGAGAAGTGAACGATGAAGTACACGGTTGTTTTATCGGACAAGTGGTTCGGTCGAGGCTGCGGCGTGTTCTCATCGTTGCCTTCCTGCTCCGTCCGCTGCACACGATCTTGAAGATGCTTCAGCATCAGCATTTCATCCCGTATCTTGCGTCGCTGTTGCCTAGCGATGCGAACGAGAGCAGCTATCAGAAAAGTTACCGCGATCATACTGGTGAAGATTGTCAGATCCATCGTGACAACAATGGGGATTCGAAAACCTTCCCTCTGCAGGAAACTGCCGAATGACTCTTGGCTGTTGGTGTCGAAATTCAACAAGGCGGAGAGGAACACGGCAAGTCCGAGAACCAGGGACAGACACCAGGACGCACCGATCAGCGCGATGCAACGTCTGGGCGTCGCTAGCCGGAGATACTGCAGGGGCCGGGAGATCTTCAGGTACCGGTCAGCCGCTATCACCACCGAATTCAAGAAATAGCCGAGAAGTCCAAAATAGGTAGAACTTGTGAGTACTGCGAGTTTGAGCGCGGAGTGGTTCAAGTTTGACATCAGGATTACAACCCACCATGAAATCAAAATTCCCATAACGATCAGGGACACACAAAGACTAGCCATGAAATAGTTGGACACATTATGGAGGGTGTGGTCTGTAGCGATTGTGGCTATTAACCACGAGTAAACGAGACTTGTTACTAATGCGATGGAAATCAAAAAGATGTAGCTGGCCAACAAGGCCGGATGGACTGGATGATCGCTCACAGATGATGCAGACGCATTCACGATCACTTCTTCCTCCATAATAGGCCTTCCTGACAGAATATTTCAGTCACAAAACACATCAAAATTTACAATTAACTGTCACTGCATTCAAAAAACACAAAATCCGTACTAGTGTGATACTTTTATGACGACGCAATGACCAAATTCGCACGTACCGGTACGTCATTATACGCCAGCCCGTTGCATCTCTCAATTATAAACTGATTATGGATTACACGCACAGCACCGGGCGCTTTCATTGAATACATCAATCTAGAGTAAACTTACTTTTTTTTTCAGAGTAGGCCTAATCAGGAAATGACGGAGACAAATTTGGAACTGACGCTTTTGACGAGAGACACCATTAAGAATTGGCCCAGCGGTTGTTTCTTATTTTTTTAATACGCCCTTTTCGTATGTTTAACAAACCGCGGGTTACTGTAACCGCTACCACGCTTTTGTCAGGTGAAAATGCCAGAATAATGGATAAGTAATTGCCTCTATTATGAACATAATATGTACGTTCACGATACTGGACTCGGATTTATCGCTCAGCCTTGAGATATTAAAGATGTTATAACCGTGCTCTTCGACGAATTGCAGTTTTTTTCTCATTACGGAGTTTCCACTCGTCCAGTTTATTTTCTGTTAACGGGAAAACCTACACCCCTCCCCATTTTTTCGTTAGGGAGCGGTTGTTTTTGCGCGATAACAGATCCTCCTTGCTAATAGACTGGTTCTTGATCCCTACATTGTCGATTCTGATAGGGGCGGGAATCAGTCTACCCGGCGATTGCTGAATTTTTGTGATAACGTTGATACTATTTCGAAAGTAATTATCATTCCTTAATTAAAAGTGGTCCGATTGTTTTGCTCCATGTCTCATCGAAAAGGGTACCTATATATTACTGGCAAAACTAGCAATTAAAGAAAATCTGTAAAACTCGAGAATAGCACGGACTGTACATCTTTGAAGGGAAGATACAACAATTGTAAGCATCAAAAAAGGAAATGATCAAATTACCACGAAATTCTTTACTGGACTGTTAGCATCCCGTACAATCATGGCTCCTTGTGTGCTGACGTTTTTAAGTAAAGTGATATTTTTGTATCAATTTCCAACGACCAGCGTTCGAGAAAACTGTGGTTCTTTTTGTTAAACTGCTCCTTAAGTTATTCGGCATTTTCTTTGCAACTGATTACACACCTGTGAAGAGGTACGAGCCAGCTAGACTGATTCTCTGACCTTATGATTCCCCAACGTCTATAAATTGCCTCGTTTCATCTTAAGTGGGGTCAGGGAACCAGACTACAAGAACATGGTTGGTTTTCTTGGTTTTCCCAGCATCTACAAACCCAAAACGTGAAACAAGTCAGTGTCACAATATTTGCTTGAACATACTATTCCTCCAAATCCATTTATTTCTGAAAATTACAGCAAAAGCAAATGTTGTACATTCCCTTTAATACATAAATACGTTCACTTGGATTAAAACGCGTGCTTAGTGACGTTCTTTTTTGTCCGTTTACATGGATGCTTTTCAAGGCTCGGTTGCTATAGTATCCGATACTGTCATTAACGTGCCATACACCGGTATAAAAAAAAACCAATCGATTGAAAATATTTGAAGAGGTGTCCAGTGAGGAATGACAAAGACAAAATTGGAACTGACGCTTTCGTGAGAGACACCGTTAATGATTTATTAATACGCCCCTTTCGTCGGTAATTAAGAAACCGCGCGTTACTGTCATCAATGCCAAGCTTTTGTCAGTTGAAAATGACAGAATAATGGATATGGTGAAATTGCCTCTGTGTGCATAATATGTAGGTTCACGGTACTGGACTCGGATTAATCGTTCCGCGTTGAGAAGCAATTCTTACTGATTGGTGTAAATATTGAAGATGTTACGACCGGGCCTTCCACAATGCAGTGCACCACCAAGAGTTTGCTCAGAACAGTTCATTGTTTTCCCAGTGTATTGTTGGAGATGATCGACAATTTCCCGGCGCGGGACATTTGAAACTATTGGTTTTTCCAGTCAGTAGTTTCGTAAGCGGACGATTTCAGCATAATGTTTGGCCCTTTTTTTTCAATATGGTGTTTTTGTAAGGCGGCAGAAGGCCCTACCAATTCAAAGTCACGACGGGTAGCGACAGTTCAGTTTTTTGTATTTTTCTGTCCTAAATAAATATGGAACTTTCCATCAAACAAGTCCTCAGCTGTGAGAGATCCAAGTGCCCTAAACCAGATTTATGTTCCATTAGTGCACGCGAGAGGCACGGCCTCATCTGCCACAAGACCACCTTGTCGTGAAAAAAAAGATAGAACCGTGGTCTATGAAGGCTGCAACCAGTCATTGCCAATAACCTAGTCACCGATGAAATACAAAAAGTCATCCGTGGGCACAGTCCGAGAGGGGCAGACCCACGGCTGCAACACACTGTCACTGAACTAGTCATACATGCGTTCGGACTGCATTGAATGGGAAAGTCAGTGGTTTAAGATCGAAACTTGATAATGTTTAATGGTCCCTAGAGTTGGCAGTCTGGAAACACTTCTCGCTGTAACGATCACAGAAGAGTCGTTTCACCCTCTTCAAGTTATTCCTTGCTGCCTGTCGGTGCTCTGGCTGCGTATAGGCCAGGAACAAGGTGCCGCAGAAGGTGTCAAACATGGCAAGAATGGAACCGACGGTCATGAGAGGGTTGAGAACAGCTGAAGTCAGGTCAGTGACAAAAACCGCAATGTTAATGGCTACACTATTTGGTAGCCAAGCCACCACAAATGCGGAGAAGTGTACGATGAAGTACACGGTGGTTTTATCGGACAAGTGGTTCGGTCGAGGCTGCAGCGCGTTCTCATCGTTGACTTCCTGCTCCGTCCGCTGCGCACGATCTTGAAGATGCTTCAGCATCAGCATTTCATCCTGTATCTTGCGCCGCTGTTGCCTAGCGATGCGAACGAGAGCAGCTATCAGAAAGGTTACCGCGATCATACTGGGGAAAATTGTCAGATCCGACATGACGACCATTGGGATTCGAAAACCTTCCCCCTGCAGGAAGCTGGCGAATGACTCTTGACTGTCGGGGTCAAAATTCAACATGGCGGAGACAAACACGGCAAGTCCGAGGACCAAAGACAGGCACCAGGACGCACCGATCAGCGCGATGCAACGTCTGGGCGTCGCTAGCCGGAGATACTGCAGGGGCTGGGAGATCTTCAGGTACCGGTCAGCCGCTATGACCACCGAATTTAAGAAGTAGCCGAGAAGTCCAAAATAGGTAAAACTTGTGACAACTGCGAGTTTGAGCGCGGAGTGGTTCAAGTTTGACATCAGGATCACAGACCACCATGAAATCAAACTTCCCATGACGATCAGGGACACACAAAGACTGGCCATGAAATAGTTGGACACATTATGGAGGATGTGCTCCATAGCGATTGTAGCTATCAACCACACGTAGACCAGAACTGTTGCTACTGCGATGAAAATCACGAAGATGTAGCCGGCCAACAAGGCCGGATGGACTGGTTCATCGCTCACGGATGGCGCAGACGCATTCACGATCACTTCTTCCTCCATAATTAGGCCTTCCTATCAGAAAATTTCAGTCACCAAAAGCATCGAAATTTACAAACAAATGTCAGTGCGTCAAAAGCACAAAGAAGTCCCATCTGATTCAGTGAAAACAGAAAAACAATCGAAGTGTTTTCCGTACCAGTGTGATACCTATTGTTGGTAAATGACTATATGACGCAACGACCAAATTCGCACGTACCGTACATAGCGGTACGTTATGCGTATACGCTATAGCCGGTTGCATCTCTCAATATTAGTATAAACCTTGAAACGGCTTACACGCACAACACCGTGCGCTTTCATAAATCGTTCTACATCTGAAAAATCCTAATTAGGAATGACGGCCGGAAACTGAAACTGACGCTTTGATGAGAGTTAATATTTGGACCAGCAGTTAAGTGGATTTGTTGATGCGCCCCTTTCGTCGGTAAATAACAAGCCGCGCGTTACTGTAACCGCTACCATGCTTTTGTCAGGTGAACATGCCAGAATAATGGATAAGTAATTGCCTCTATCATGAACATAATTATGTAATTTCGCGATACTGAACTCGGATTTCTCGCTCAGCCTTGAGACGTAATTCTGATTGATTGGTGTAGATATTAAAGATGTTATGACCGTGCTCTTCGACGAATTGCAGTTTAATTTCATTACAGAGTTTCCACTCGTCCAGTTTATTTTCTGTTAAACGGGAAAAGCTACACCTCCCCCATTTTTTTCGTTAGGGAGCAGTTGCTTTTGCGCGATAACAGATCCTCCTTGCTAATAGACGGGTTCTTGCTCCCTACATTGTCGATTCTGATAGGGGCGGGAATCAGTCTACTCGGCGATTACTGAATTTTTGTGACACTTACAAGTTTATACGTGTATTTCGAAAGTAATTATCATTCCTAATTTTGCTCCAAATGTCTCATTCAAAAGTGTACCAATATATTACTAGCAAAACTAGAAATTAAAGAAAATATGGAAAATTCGAGAATAGCACGGACTGTGCGTCTTTAATACATAAATACGTTCACTTGGATTAAAACGCGTGCTTATTTAGTGACGGTCTTTTTTTTTGTTCGTTTACATGATGCTTTCATGACCCTGTTGCTATAGTATCCGATACTGTCATTAACGTGCCATACACCGGTATAAAAAAAAATCGATTGAAAAAATAGTGGCTAAGTTCAGATCAGGAAAAGTCCAGCATGTAACTGGTTGTAAATAAACTTATATTACTTTTTTGGTATTAAAATAGCAGTCCTTATTGCAGCATATTGCGTTATAAACACCACAGGATACAACACAATAATACAACTTGGGCAAGAACTTAAAACCCACTTGTTGAGGAGTCTACGATTTACTTGGTAACCAGTAAAATGGCCTGTGAAAATGGTCAAAGATTGGATGACTTCGTTTATCGCTTATTCCAAATATGAAAAATAATCCAACAAACTGTGTCCTCCCAAATTAGCTTCAGGACGACATCGGTCCGTCTATCGATAGAAGAGCTGCAAAAAAATGCTGGTTGTTCCACGTCGTTACTGCGGGTTGAGAGCGGGGCCTCCGTCCCTTGAGATCATGATGATCATCAGGAGCAGCGATTTCTTGTTATCAGTGGGGGGGGGGGGGGGGAACCAGTAGCTTGAGAAATGGAAAGGTGGGGGGTTCATATTATCTAACTCTAGGGGGCGTCCTTCATCATATGTATTCATCCAATCATAGGCCAAGTTCGCGCAAGGACTATAGTTGACCAATGGTTAACTAACGTTTGCCCGAACTCTGTCTAGTCGACGGTGGTTGACTACGCTAGTCAACTATTTGGAACCAGCCGAATGGGGTTTGTTGCTTCGCTGGTAACCAATAGCCGCGCGCATTCATAACGCTAGCAGAGAGCCAGGATCCAGAAGTTTTGCGATAACATTTTGACCAGCGTTTGACTAGAGACGTTCGCACGTCGCTGTCAGTGCGCAGGCGTAAGGTACGTCACAAGTCAACCACTAGTCGACTAATGGTCCTTGCCCGAACTTGGCCATAGTTGAGGATGCCACAGTGTAGGTTTGACATCGGCTGATAGAGGGCGCTGTGTCGGAGCTAGACGACTTTTATTTCGCGGGAGATTTTTTAGCTTTTTAATCCTTGATTTTTCGCGTTTCCTTTGGCCATCCAGGTCTTTTAACCCATTTTTATCGCTTTTGATGTTTTTAAGGATCTGCTTATTGGTTTATTGTTCGTCGTTCGTGTGAATTTTCGTCAAATCTCGTCATTTTTAGTCAACTGTGTAAACAGTGAATCTTGAAGTCGGCCATTTTAAAAAACCACTGTGCAATTTATAGACCGACATCGAAGTTTGTACTTGGACTTCCTACTACCGCTTCTGCAGCTTTTGACTTGGATTAAACCACCATGGAGTTCACCATTACTTATTTTGTGATTGGATTCCTGCTTACTCTCGCACGTATTAGTGATGGGATCTGCAAAACTGTAAGTACAACCGTAGACACAAGGCTGACAGAATGTGATCCCGATATTGGCACAACAAGCACCAGTTATTTTGCAACTGCGTTACTGTCTCGTAGACAATTTATCAAAACTCTGAAAAACTCTCATGGCCTATCCTGGACCCATGTTTTGTTGATCGGACTTGGAAATGATGTCAACCTAAACCCAGGCCCTCCATCCAACTCTTCGCTTGATGACCCCCCTGCACCGTGTGGTGTCTGTGGAGAGGAAGTAGGCTATTATCCAGAGAAGGGTATCCAATGTGAAGAGTGTGAAAAATGGAATCATGCCGCTTGTATCAACATGAGTAGTAAAACTTACAACTTGTTGGCTAATTGTAGTACCTCATGGATTTGTGATGGGTGTGGTCATCCAAATTTTTCTGGTTCGCTATTTAGTATCGTGACTGATTTTGAAACTGAAAATCCCTTTACTCCACTTGACTCAGACCAGTCTTTGAGTGATGTACAACCCCTTGCTGCATCATCCCCCAAACCGCCTTGTAAAACCAGGAAGAGAAACCCTCCCATACGTGACACAGCAAAAACAAAGTCTAAGAAACCCACCAGAGCGAAGAAGCTTACTGTCATCAACATCAACTTTCAAAGTCTGAAAAATAAGGCTTCGGAACTTTTGGGTATCCTACATGAACATACGCCGGACATTCTTATTGGCACAGAAACTTGGTTAAATGAAAAGATCCTTGATGCTGAGCTTTTCCCACCAGAGTACGCTGTCTTTAGAAAAGATCGTAATGATGGCTACGGGGGTGTCTTGATAGCTGTCAAAAACCTCTCCTGTCATCTAGTGGATGAATTAAATTCTGACGCTGAATGTATCTGGGTTCGCGTTGAATGTGGACCTAAGAAGAAGGTGTACGTGGGGGCTTTCTACAACCCAGACTCCTCTCATGAACCGATTGATAGACTTGATACATCTCTCTCAAAGCTCCATCAATTAACCAAAGGAAAAGGTGAAATTTGGCTGGGAGGAGATTTCAACTTGAAAGACATCAATTGGGATGATAGGTTGGTTAAGGTTGGCGCCCAGTTTTCTGCTCAGTGCAGGAAGTTAGTTGACATCTGTAACTCCTTCAACTTAGACCAATTTGTCCTTGTACCCACCCGGATGGAAAGTATTCTTGACTTGTTTATGACAAACAACCCCACCATCGTTGAATCCACCAGGGTGCTTCTTGGTTGTGGAGATCACAGCATGGTGAAAATTCTGATTAACGCTGGAGGTGTAACTACCAAACCAGTTCGTCGCAAATTCGTCCTGTACAAAAAAGGGAAGTTTGAAGACCTCCGTAATGATTTGAAGAACTTTGGTGAAAATTTTCTCCATGAATTGAATCTAAGGACAGTTAATGAAAATTGGATTCTTCTGAGGGACACCCTCAACGCACTTACTGAAAAGTTCATCCCATCCAAGTACTCCTCAACGAGATTTAACTTGCCATGGTTTTCTCCTGCGCTCCGTCGTCAAAGCAGAAAGCTTCAACGCATGTATAATAAACAGAAGAAAACTAACTCTGCTGAGGACTCCAAACTGTTCAGAAGCGCCCGGAAAATGTATAAAAGAAACCTCAACAGAGCTCACCAGCAATATATCTCCAGTATGCTTGAGGAAGATCTCCAACATAACCCAAAAAAGTTCTGGAAATATGTCAAATCAAAGCGAACTGACAATGTAGGCGTCCATCCACTGAAGAATGGCACTGACACCGTTTCAGACCAAGTTGGGAAGGCAAACATTCTCAACTCCTTCTTCAAATCAGTTTTCACCAAGGAAAACACATCCAACCTCCCTAACCTACAGCAGTCTGTTCCAGACATTGAATCACTTGAGATCGTGGCTGAGGGTATCGAGAAACTTCTTCGTGATCTGAACCCCTCCAAGGCCTCGGGACCAGATAACATTCCTAATAAAATCCTTAAGGAATGCAGCGTGGAGTTGGCACCACTACTAGCAGGGCTGTTTAACCAATCCTTAAAATCTGGTGACCTCCCAGATGACTGGACTACAGCCAACGTGTCTCCTGTCTTCAAAAAAGGCAGTAAAAGTGACCCCAGTAACTACCGCCCCATATCACTAACATCAGTGGTATGTAAATGTCTTGAGCACGTCATCCATCGTCATATAATGTTCCACATTGAGCAGCACCAGATCCTGACAGACTGCCAACATGGGTTTAGAAAAAGCAGAGGGTGTGACACTCAACTCCTCATTACCATTGATGACATAGCTAAATCAATCGAGAAAGGCAAACAGGTTGACGCAATATTACTTGATTTCTCGAAAGCGTTCGATCGCGTCCCACATCAGAGGCTTCTCACCAAACTGAGGCACTATGGCATCACCGGTAATGTGCACAAGTGGATCTCAACTTTCCTTACAACACGTACCCAACAAGTCGTCCTGGAGGGTAAAAGTTCTACAACAGCTGAAGTTTTATCTGGAGTCCCCCAGGGCACTGTCTTGGGACCCCTGATGTTTCTCCTCTACGTTAATGA